AAAAATATTTAAATTACATGCTGGTTGTAATGGGAATTGAACCCTGACCCTCTGGAAATTAGCAAATTGTGCAAGCATCTTCCCGCACTAAGCTACAGCCAGACATGTAAATGTGCATTTAAATGTTGAGTTTGAATCAACATCACGCGTGCGTGTTATGGAAGTATTATTTCTTAACACGAACACTTTTAAACGATAATCAAATAGAAAATTTTCATGTTTACTATGCGTTACTTCTCTTAGTGAATTCATAACATTTTTCTGAATATTACAACGCGTTTTTCTCTTAGTGTGGCGATTTTTGAACTTTTATTCAAATTTGTGCAATCAAATCAAAAACCGGGACACTAAAATGAAACCCGGGGCTTTTTAAGGTTCGACCGGGACACCGGGACAAATAGTCTAAAACCGGGACACGTCCGGGAAAACCGGGACGTCTGGCAGCCCTAGACATGCACATTGTACATAAAGGAAGTACCCAACAAAATTAAAAAAAATTGCCTTTTTTCAAAGCTGATTTTGCCTTTTTTTTAAGTTTTTAGGCCTTAACACCTATTATAAGGACTAGTAGCTATAATAATATTTAGATCGTTTCGAAGTATTTTCCAAATGTGGTTTCAATTAAGATATTTTGGGAATAAAAATTACGCTCAAGATCGCAGAAAATTTTATCTTTAAAAGTTGGTTTATTCTGAAAGCACACCTCTTGCTAGATAAGGTATCAAATTATTCGTAATTATTTGTAGAATACAATACATACTTAAAAAGTTTTTAAAATGAAATGTTTCAAAAACTGTACGCGATAAATCGAAAAGTTTGAAAATTGTGAAAAGCAGAGTTACAAATTTCTGGTTACTTGCCATTTAGTTATTTTTTAAAGCACACTTTAGGTTCAAACCAATATATGATGTGCTTCAAAAGTTATGACATAATTAGTTTTTCACCTCTTAAAAATTACACAAAAGATTCACTTGTTTTTAATATCTTTTTGAATGAAAACATCTAACGGGTGATTTTTTTGAGGTTAGGATTTTCATGCATTAGTATTTGACAGATCACGTGGGATTTCAGACATGGTGTCAAAGAGAAAGATGCTCAGTATGCTTTGACATTTCATCATGAATAGACTTACTAACGAGCAACGCTTGCAAATCATTGAATTTTATTACCAAAATCAGTGTTCGGTTCGAAATGTGTTTCGCAAACCCAATTGCTGCGAACGGCGACGAATCGACATTTCACGGTCTTCAGCAACACTCTCAGAAACAGACGCAATATTCTCTTCTGTACGCACTGTACGCATTCGTGTGGTTGGTTTAATGTCCAATAAAGTAAACTGAGTGCGAAACTTGGTCACAATCGCATTAATTGTTTGCTCACTTGGTCGATTATGTAGACCATAAATCGGACGTAAAGCGAACCGAACACTGATTTTGGTAATAAAATTCAATGATTTGCAAGCGTTGCTCGTTAGTAAGTCTATTCATGATGAAATGTCAAAGCATACTGAGCATCTTTCTCTTTGACACCATGTCTGAAATCCCACGTGATCTGTCAAATACTAATGCATGAAAATCCTAACCTCAAAAAAATCACCCGTTATAACTCAAAAGTTATGCAACAAATTGATACAAAATTTGTTTGAGGCTTCAAGTATACGTCAATGAATTATATCCAAAAGCAACCAGCTTGATATAGTTTCCAACAGTGAAACTAAAGCTAAGTAGCAAAAAGGTCACCTGTTTTTTAGATTTGCCCATATACTTAGCTGTTATCTTAAGTACTAACCTATATGGTGTTACAGTGAATGCCATATCTTCCCACTCGGCTACCATTTTCGTCATCGCACGCTCTAAATTGTTCTCTTTAGTTGCACTTTCGGAGATCGCTTCAAACTTGGGCACATATTCTTCCAAACCGTACTCGATAATCTTTTCAAGAGTTAATTCTGGCGACACCTTAATGGGGAACCCAATAATTTCCGATACTTGCTCCCAGTGACGCGCTTTCATGCCGGGATTTCCCAATGTACTGATTATAGGCATATGTTGTCGGAGCTCTTCAATTTGATCTTTAACCTAAAAAACAGCGAAAATGTTAATTTAATGTTAACGTGGTGACATTCTGAACTACCATATAGTGTGTAGTCACGATTGAGAGAATACAAAGGTTGCGCCGATCTCGGACCGCTATTCCTCTCTTAACGAATTTGACAGAATCGTTGTTTGCATGACGTCACACTGGTGCAACTTGTTTACGGTTTCTTTGCAACATTTTTTCTTCTTCTTCCATTCTTGCTCACGTTTTGGCATTTCTCTCTCGCAATTGCACCAGTGTGACGTCACACAAAAGTTATTCTCAAAAATCCTCTCTGATCGGCGCAATCTTGTATTCTATCATTCTTGGTGTGTAGTGTGTATAGACCAATTAAAATCCATAACTGGTAACGTGATGACACCCAGTGTGGTAGGGTGTAGAAAGGATCAATATTATATGGAATGTGTCTTTTAATACCCCATTGACTACTTTAAACTCGAAGAAAATATGATAGCTCTAAAACTCGAACAAAATGTTTATTTTCGTCAGCTAAGGGTGAAAAGATGCCAAGACCAGTTTTTGAAATTGCTCAGGAAACGCGAAAAATCGATGCAGTTATCTGTGATTCAGCATCAAAAACTAAATTTTGAAAAAATGGACTTGGCAACTTTTCTCCTTTGGGTAACGTTTTATTTCTTATGCGTTATGCGTTATAACAAAAAAAAAAAACAACAAACTCGATAAAAAAGGCTTTAAAGTTTTGAACTTGCATATGGCATAGGTACACTTTCCAAAAAAAAAATGTTAATTTTTAAATTTGTGAGCACACTTATGTTTTATATATAATTTTATTTGTAATCTCTTAATAAACCGATTAATTTAAATGTAATTAATTTTCATCAAGTGCTTCAAAAGCAAGACGAGGAATAAACATGAAATAGAAAACAAAAGAATAAGCTAGGTTCACATTACGCTGTTCAAGTTGTAATTTTTGAGCAAAGATTTTGAAAGTTGAGCTCTCTTAAATGAGACGTTTTAAATTCAATGGCATACCACGTTTTACCAGATTTACTCCGGTTTTCGAGATACCGGTACTTGAGAATTTGATTAAATTTTAACTATTTTATAAAAAACTCCCTCAGTTTTGAACTTATTTTACTAACATTTTTTACATAACGGTTTTTTAATATTACCCACGGTTGCCACTGTTCGTTGTTTCCAACCAAACTTGGTTGTTTTCTTTTATCTTTTCTAATTTGTTTGTTTGGTAGTTTTTTCTCGGTTTTGGTTGTTTTTTTTTAATTAGAAATTAGCAAATTTTTTCTTTTTAAAAAGTATTATTGCATACTGAATGCCAAAAATGAATAAATTAATTTTTCAAATTCCTATTTTTAATGTTACATGTTTTATATACCAATATAAAAAGTAAATATGTGATTGAACGCACAAGTATTTCAATAATTTTTGTTTTCCGAAATAGCAGCTATAACTTTTATCAAAAGGGAAATTAATGTTTAATAGCCAGGTAGGGGCAAATTTTTGCCTAGATATTAAAAAATAGTACCAGGAAATGCTCGGTCGAGGTATTTTCAAATCGCTCCAGCTCACTTAAATCTTAATATTTTTTGGAAATATTTTGGTGGACGTCTTAAAATATAATAGGTTTTATAATTCTAATGGAAAAATAGTACCTATTTTTCTTTGTATGTGGAGCGATGCAGTCTACTACACAGGTATGTAGAGCTATGAGTTTACGGTTGCCAGACGTACTGATTTTATCAGTACAGTACTGATTTTATCAGTACAGTACTGATTTTTCAGCTCTTGTACTGATTTTATTCATTTCCTCAATCAGTACGCTAATATCCTGATTTTTCAAAATTTGTACTGAATTTTCAATTCATACAAAATACTTTATGAATTTCT